AGGTGCACTTACCTACATGCAGGCAAAACACACATACACGTAAAATAAAAATAATAAAATATTTTTTTAAATGTCAAAGAGACAGAAGTTTTTGGTGGTGAACAAGAATGAATTTCAAGCTCTCAACAGAACTCTAAAAAGTCATCTCAGTCCGAGTCACCATACCAAAGGATAGCACATACATTAACAGCTATGTAATAGCCAGGCAACACTTTTAATTCCAGCATTCAAGAGACAGAAGCAGGTTGATCTCTGTAAGATCAAGGCCAGCCTGGTCTGCAGAGTGAGTTCCAAGTCTGCTGCAGCTACAAGGAGACCCCTTCTCAAAAAACAAGCAAAACAGGTTGAAAGCACATCTCACTTCTAGACCCTGAAGAAATTAAAATTATAAGAAAAAAGAATCTCCCTAGGTACAACCAGACTACAACACTTTTCCTTTACAAACCTCAAAGAATTTTGAAGTAAAAAAGAAAAAAGCAAATCAAAAAAGAACAGGGAATTTCCTGTCAATGAATTGTCAATTTTGGTGTCCCAGCTTAGCACCATTAGGATAACTTCTTCTTCCTATCACCTTATAGAATGGAATGTCTCAGTAATTATTAGATCCTCAAAACCACAGCCTGTATCATTTACCATAAGTTTGGGTTTTTTTGTTTTTAGACAAGGGTCTCACTATGTAGCCCTGGCTGGCCTGGAATTTACTATGTAGATCAGGCTGGCCTTCAATTCACAGAGATCCACCTGTCTCTGTCTCCCAAGTGCTGGGACCAAAAGCTTACACTACCACGCCTAGCAGTCTCATTCTTTTTTAAAGCAGAGTAGTAGCAAGCTAATAAAAACCATCAAATGACTACTTTAACAAAGAAATCATGGACCAAAACTGAGACAAACACCTTGAATTAAATATTCAACATTTGCAACTCACAGAGAGAAGTTTTATAGTAGACACAAGAAATCATATATAAACTCTTTAGAAAGCACAACATGTAGCTTCGGAAGTAATGAATCATACCAAAACACAGAGCATTATGGCTTTTACCCACAGCTTGGCATATTAACAGACGGACATTTTAAGTCAAAGTGATACCTAATATCTAAATGTACACATTATATGTGAAAGCCATCATGTAGATGTCAAAATGATCATTTAAATCACAACTGCACTTACAAAACATTCAGAAAACTAAATGCTATCTCTCCTGTGTTATTTCCATTTCATAAATAACACTAAAGCTTAAAGCTGAATTGCGCAGACATGAAACTATGTGCACAATGTGGTTCTCGTGTGAAGCCTACTAGAGGCTTTGCAAGCACATATGGATCCTGAAATGTTACAGAAATCGAATTTAGTTTGAATTTTTTTCTTATACAAGATCTAGACCAATTTTTCACTCTTGTTATTTCAAATTTCAATCTCACACAGCAAATGTTGATGTACAGTGTTGTTCAAGTTTTTTGAGCCATACATTTTGGCTATGTGTCTGCCTGTGTTTAAACAGCAGATACTCAACCAAGACAGCAAGAAAATAGACCTGTAAGGACACGCAGTGGAATGTGCGTGGTTTGGCTGGAAGGCTCACAATCAAGAACAAATTATACCACATAATACCTGGAAAAAGTTAATTAAGTCAACTTCACCAATAACTTCACCAATAACAAAACTTTTTTGTTTATTGAATTTTAATCATGAAATGGTAGGTGGAATGAAAATACATGTATTACACTCATTTTGTTCTTGATACTGAACTGATGTTTTAATTGTCTGATTAGAAACTGAATGTCAGAGCAAAACTGAATGTCAGCACACTGCACATAAAGCAGGAGCCCCTGGCAACAGGCTCTAATGTCTGTGAATAACTTCAACATAGGTATCCATGCACTTCTAAAAAGTTTGTAAAGAGACAGCTATAAGGATACACAAGGCAGATGAGTAGACAGACAAAAGCCACAACAATGGTCACCACAGGTCAGCATACAGAGTGTACCAACCTTTGCAAGCCTGCATTTCAAAAGCCCAAGCAGGGCACAGGACCAAAGCCTCATACACTGATCTTCATGATACCGGGGCAGAGCATAAAGGAAAGCGCCCAGGTAGGGAGCACACGGTACAAAGAGACAGCAATTCTAGACCTCCACACCCCTTATCACCATTCTGATACTGTAAAGAGAATCTAACCTAGTTGGATGAAAACTGTAGAACTCTGTGAAAAAAGATTATTACACTTACTGGCTCTCACATAAACTTTTTTTAAAGTTCATTTTCTTGTTTTGATTTAGACATGGTGTCCCTACATTGTCCAAGCAGACCTCAAACTCACAACACAACTTTCCTGCCTCAGCCTCCCAAGTGCCAGGATCAGACATGAGCCACCATACCTGACTTCCTTTCCTTTCTTTTACTTTTTGTTGTCTTTAAATGTCTCTGCTTATTTTCTTAGAATCCCCTTGCCACATCCTTAAAATGACATTTCCATTTTTCTTTTGTTTGGTTGGTGCTTTCTACTCCCCAAAATGAGAATCAGTGAATTCCTTAGAAGAACAGGAAAATGAAAAGCTCCCAGCGTCCTGGGGCAGTTCTCATTCAAACGTGCTCTTAAATGACTAATGAGCATTTGCTCTCCAACAGGACAAGAGTTCTACATGTTTAGGTGGGCTGTGGGCTTCAAGGGCACAGTGATCAGGGTAGGACGGGAAGGGTATGGCTTAGAAAACAGATCTGTGAGCCAGGCGAGGTGGTGCACTTGTAGTCCCAGCACTTGGGAGGCAGAGGCAGGAGGATCTCTGTGAGTTCAAGGCCAGCCTGGTCTACATAGTGAGTTCCAGGCCAGCTGGGGCTACAGGGAAACCCTGTCTCAAAAAGACCAAAAAATAAAAATAAATTTTTTTAAAAAAATTAAAAATTAAAAAAAAAAAAAAACAATAAGATCTGTGATTATGCTAAGGCCTGGCTTTCGTAATCCAGACAGCCCCTTCTCTGGCTAGCGCTTGCTCCGAGCCTTCAGGCCACCATGGGGCTGTTCAGCACAAAGTTAGTACTATCCCCAGCTTCCCTAAACAAGGTTATCAGGGGAAACTCTAGTCAAAGAGTGATTCAAGACAAGCAGTGCTGCAGTGGGGAACCTCCGAGCATGGGCATGGTAGAACATGAATGGTAGAGGCAACAACATCTGCCCAAGAAGTGAACACTGAAGAGACTCTGCTGGGCGCTCACGGCCAGGGCGGCAGCTTCTAGTGCAATGGCATCCTCTACCAACCCGCACTGGTTCTGTCCTGTTCTCACGATTACCCGCACCTCGACACACCCACCCACTTGCACTGCTGCACTCACATCCTCACTCACTTACATACCATAAAGATAACCAAAAAAAGAGTTTCACAAAGCTTAATAGATAGAAATGCTTATTCTTAGCAAATTAGAACTAAAATCACCAAGTAGCCAGCACTCTGTGTGGTTCTACTTGTAAAATAATAAACTGGCCTAAGAACCAAGAGAACAAGTAGAAATGTTTTCTGTAACACTGGGAAAATAAGGCAAACACTCTGGCTGTATTAACAAGGCTTGAGTCCTGAGTTCAAATACCACAAATAAATGGAACACCAGAGACATATTTTTACACACATGTATGTATGAATTCATTATTTTAACTCAGACATAAACATTTCTCCCTAGGGATCAGTGCAAACCCACACTCACTGCTGGCAAGACTGACAGCTTTCTGCCCCTGGCATTGCCCACAGCTATGCCAAGCCCCTGGTGAAGAACTGCAGGCCAGACACTAAGCTGGATATACATGGATGGCCACAGAGCAGTAGCCAGATGCCTCAGGAACATTTGCCCTCAAAGGCAAAGGTTCTGGGCTGCAGTTAGCTTCCAAAGCAAGCTCACACTCCAATTGTGCATTTAAAACAATAGTAAATCAACCTAGTAAAATCTTTCTGGGAATAAATAAACTGAAAAAATCACAGGGAGGGAAATTGCACATTGGCTCAAGCAAATCAGTGAGCCCAGATATGCAGAATGCAGAAACCCGAAGCTCCCACCAGCTTGTTCTTCCTAAGGGCACAGGGAAAAGTGGAGTACTACAGTGGAGTGTGATTGCAGAGGCCAGGCATGGCTGTGAGGTCTACATAAAGCAAAGGTGTTATGACCTACCATGTGGGAAAGCCTGGAAAAAAAAGGGAACATCTCCAGGAACCTTCAGTCTGCTCTTCCCACATGCGGACTCTGGAATTTATTTTCAGTATTTCATGCTTGAACTGAAATGCTTCTCAAAACTTTGCTTAAAATGTAAAAATAAGCAGTGACTGTGCTAGCTCTGAAAACAATTAAGGAAGTGACATTTACACAAACCAACAACAAAGCCCATCTCAGGTATTAATGGAACTTAAGGCTCAACTGGTGAATTTGAAAATCCTTTCCAGAAATTAACTTTAAATGTGGGGGGGGGGCAGGGACAGAGGTCCTTCTGTAAATTTTGACGTTTGTGTTATTCTGACTAGTACAGACTTTACACGTGAAATGCAAAGCATTTTGAACTCCTGCCAGACTAATCAAGATGACTTCCAAAATGCCAAAACAGGAACTTCCTATAATAAATAACACCACATTTACATCTCAAATTAGAAACTTGAAGAAAACCTGCAGGTTGAGTGCCAAAATATCCTTCTGTAAATTTTGACGTTTGCGTTATTCTGACTAGTACAGACTTTACATGTGAAATGCAAAGCATTTTGAACTCCTGCCAGACTAATCAAGATGACTTCCAAAATGCCAAAACAGGAACTTCCTATAATAAATAACACCACATTTACATCTCAAATTAGAAACTTGAAGAAAACCTGCAGGTTGAGTGCCAAAATAGAGATTAATGAAGCCTGCGCATGCCACGCCCCACCCTCTGCCTCATGTGCTCTTAAGCCTCTCACAGATCAGCAGCACTCAGTTCAGGAGGAATTCCGGGAACCCAGCAGTCACTGCTGCACGCCCTGTGGCTACTCACCATTGGAAGTGGTGCTGGAGGCCACCGCTTTCTCACTGACGTCTGCTCGAGTGGAACATTTCACGATAGAATTCTCGGCTTTCTTCTTCTCAGTGCTTGTGGAGCTGTGGGACTGGGCCTCCATAATGTCTTCTCATTACTTCAGCTTGCTTCTAGAAGGAATGCCTAGAAAACACCACAGTACCATCAATTTCTCAAAATGGCAGAAAAAGCATTTACTCAAAAGCCCTCTGCACCTGGCACCTGAGAAGAGCCTAAAAAATTCAAAATCCAAAGGACAATTCTCCCAAAGTTTTCTGCAAAATTACCTCAAAGTTGTATTAATAAGCCAGTCAGGCACGTGCCACCCAAGCAAGCATGTAAAAGGAGAGCGTTACAAAACTACCCACAAGTTCCCTCGGAACTTCCCCCAGGTCCTCCTGAGTATGTTCTCAAAGGGTCTAAACACCTCAGTTTTCAACTGTCGACAATATAAAACTCAAGTGTCACATCATTCTTAAGCCATGACTATATATTTCTCTTCCAGGGGCCAACTTTAAAGGAAGGGACATTCAGACAACTTCCAAAGCAGGAGCACATTTGTAATTATGCATTAGATGTCTTAAAGAGCATCTGGCAGGCCTACTCAGAGCTCTGCATCTGAGGACTTAAGTTCAAGCCAAGCAGCCTGTGATTTCTACTTCTTTTGCTAAGACATCTGAATCGCAATATGCTTCTTAATCCAGAACATTCAGGTAAGTAAACTGCTCTTTAAGCCGTCTTAAAAGGAAACATATTAATTCATTTCGGTTATAGTTCCCAAGCAAAAGTGGCTGAGATAACATGGTCCCTACTCTACAACGAAAAGCCAAAAGATCAGGTAGCGAAGGCTGGACCACTCAGGAACCATGAAAATTCAACTGCTGGCAAGTTCAGTTTGTATGTCTCACACTGGCTTCATTCCCATGACAAGAGCCCCCAGCTCATCATTCATCAATTTTCACTCTATTTAGACCTTTTTAAAAAATTTTGCTACCATGTTCCACACCTACAAAGACTACAAGAGAAGATGAAAAGCCTCCTCATGCATGTTTTCTTCAGGCTCTCTAGATTGCAACACCCACAGCAGGCATATCATCTGTCTAGTCATCTGCTTATTTTTCTACATGGACCAGACGCCACAATGTTCAACCAAAACAGTGATTATGGAAATAAAATAAGCAACTCTTTAACTGGCTAAAGTTAAAATGCCAGAGGAAATATGTTTAGTCACCTTTACTTCAGTTCTATAAGGGAACTGTAAATTTTTTTTTTTTTTTTTTTTGTCTTTTTGAGACAGGGTCTCTCTGTAGCCCCAACTGAACTTGAACTTGCTTTGCTGTAGACCAGGCTGGCCTTGAACTCACAAAGACCCACCTGCCTCTGCCTCTGGAGTGCTGGGATTAAAGGCATGCACCACCACGCCTGGCTGGGGACTGTAAATTCTTTAATGCACACTACATTCCCCTTGGCCTGGGTGCAATTCAAGCAAAGGATGGCTTCAGAACCAAATGCCACATTGTACTGAGCATTGGCCCTTCTACTAACTTCCATCTTTCCTAAGAACATTTACTGTCATTCACTCTAAATCATACAAATGTTTTGTAGAATAAAAGGAAAGACGCACTTGTAAAGACCCACTCCAAATTCAGAAGTATTTTCAGAAAGTACAAGAAAGAGCAAACCAGCAAAGAAGCTGCAGGTTTCTCGGCGTGCAGCTCTGGGCAACGTGTTGCTCAGCCTCAGTTAATAGAAGTAGTACCTAGCCACTTTTCTTTGGGAAGAGAACCATATAGTGAAAACTAGTCTCAAAAACCAAAGCATACATTTAATTTCCAAAGGATCATAGACCTGCCAATGCTTTCCTATGAATCTGGATAAAAACCTCTAAAGAAAAATTTTCCATATTTGCTTCTACCTCAAAAAATTTCAAAATAGGGGGCCAGGGTGATGGCCCCATTGGTAAAGGCACTTGCCACCAAGCCTGATGACCTGAGTTGGATCCCTGAGACCCTCAGAATGGAAGGAGGGAACCAACTCACAAGTTAGCCTCTGACCTCTACATGTGCACTCACACACACACACACACAAGCAAGCAAGAGAAATGCAAAACAAATCTCAGAATACTTCTTTTTAAAATTATTTCTCCCAAACTGAGTTTCTTGACATGGGGGGGGGTCTTGCTATAATAGCCCAGGCTGGCCTCAAACCCCCACTTCTCCTGCCTCAACCTCCCCATTGCTGGGATTACAAACTTGTAACCTTCACACCCAGCTTTAAATATCATCTTTAAAGTATGCTATGATATCAACTCAACCCAATTCACACCTCTCTGTACCAGTTTCTCTGAGCAATACATGAACCATTAATACCCACATGCTACATTCTTGCTAAGATTGCTGATCCTTGGGTCCAATATCTGGTGAGATAAATTCCTCTTGAAGAATAACAACGGGGAACTTGTGGGATTTTTAAAAATAATTTTTAAATTTATTTTTGTTTTATGTGTATGAGTGTATTGCCAGCATGTAAGTGCACCAGGGTTGTACAAGGCTCGTGGAAGCCAGCAAAGGTGTTAGATGCCCTGGAACTGCAGTTACCAACTGTTGTTAGCTGCCCTGTAGATGCTGGGAACTGAACCTAGGTCCTCTGCAAGAGCAGCTAGTGCTCTTACTGAGCCATTTCTCCTGCCCCAAGCCTCTGTTTTATTTAAGCGGCCCTGAGTGTCAAGCTCAGAACTGCTCCACACACTTATTTTTGGTCACTGCTATGTACCCAGGCAAAAGGATCTCAGCAAAGTCTTTCCTAACCGTGCAATGAATGGTATGTATCCCAGAACACTGACTTCACAGCCTATACAAACCTAAATCAGCTCCAACTGTAATGATAATGAACTCTGTCTAGAAAAGTCTTTGCTGAACATCCATCTCCCCCCTCTAGACTAAAAGTCTCCTGTGGAGAAAGTGTCTATCTGCCCAGCAACTGTTAAATATAAAAATGTTTATTGAGTGAAGAAATTGTCACATCCATTTGTGACCTGCTTGAATTTTAAACACCCTTGGGCTCTTCTAACTTAAATGTTCCACTGAAAACTGGTAAATCATATAAATACTTAAAATTTTGCCAGGAATCTTGATCAAAGTACCCCACTCTTTAGCCATTTCAAATACCATTATTGTCTCCTCCAAAATATATCAAGTTTTGTTAGTTGGCTTTGGGTAGTCTACCAAGCTAAAACCATAGAAGGGAGGAACCATGCAAAAGAACCAGAACTGCCCACCATGAGATGAAGCTAATTAACACAAGGAGACAATTTCCCAAGTTCCTTGGTAAACTTGGTTTTTGTGGAGTTGTTAGAGTTTCCCCCTAGGCAGAGAACTTCACTTTAACAAAGCACTACAACCCTCCCCAAACTCATCACAGTAGAGAAGGGCTCCTATGCAAAGAGGAAAAGCTCCAGGCACTGCCTGAAATCAACTAATTAGTGGTCTTAGAGAATACTAATTCCTACTCATTTGAAATAGGTTTTTAAAAAACTAGGCCCTTGGTCACTTAAAGAGTCTACCCCCTTCTATTTTGACAACTTATTTTTGGATCTCATTAGTGAGTAACTAATTATTTAAGTGTCATTGATGCTTGGTGCAGAACTATAAAATGGCAGCTTGCCAAGGCAGACATCTGCTTCCTGTATATCCCTATAAATTATATCAGTTTATTTTACTGATAAAAACACAATTTTAATGACAGGCATAGTGGCACACGCCTTTAATTGCAGCACTTGGGAAGCAGAGGCAGGAGGATCTCTGTTCAAGAGTTCAGCCTGTTCTACATAGCAGTTCTAGGCCAGCTGGAGATGCAGAGAGACCTTGTCTTTAACAAAACAAAATAAAACAAACAAAACAAAACAAAACAAAAACCCACATTATCCCTATTCCTTATAAAGAGAAAGCTTTAACACTGTGGAGCCCCACACACTCCATCTAACTGTTGAAGACAGCCCATCAGCAGCAAAGTGTGACTACTCCACCTTCAAGATTGGCTTTCATAGACTGTAAGGGATTTGGAAACACAGACCTGAGCTGATTCCTGAGGGATGCTAAAGGATGATGGGCTAAGCACCATCCTGTCTGAGATGATAGCCCCATGCAATCCTCAGAGCCTGGAGTTCCTTAAACAATAGACTAGAACTCATTGAGAACCTAAGAATCAAAGTAAAATATTATTCTGCTTGACTTCAAAGACTTTTCTCTGCAGAACACATGCCACTACTTTTAGATTTGAATGAAATGAGACTTTTTCCTGGGATACAGCTTCCTTGTTAACAACTCCATCCTGTTCCCTTTCAGTCTTTCACCACGGAAACACTACATGTAGGACTAGCATGCCCCCTTGATTTTACTGCTTAAGGAGGGAAAAATGAGTGTGTTACAGATGTTTGAGTCATAGCAGAAAGGGTAGGGCAAACCAGGAAAGTCGCAACTAATCCCTGCCTCCTAAGGCCTGAAGTTTCACAAAGAAAAAACAGAGGAATAAAAGTTCCTTCCTAAAGGCAAAACAATGAAGGCTTTTCTCATTCAATTATCCCAGAATCTTTGGTAGTTTCCCTGAAACCAAAGCCCAGAGCACAATTAATCCCAGACCCTATTTGAAATCTACCCCCCCCCCAATTTACAATTTGCCTGCAGGTGGGTCTTTTCTTTCTAGTTCCCAAAGTGAACTTGCCTCAACTTCCCCCCAAACAAGGAACAGGAAACAGGAAGCTTCTTGGAGTCACTAGGTGAAGCTCGCAGCATTTGAAAGTGAAGGGGGGTGGGGTGTAACTTTTACCAAATTCGAGGGGGCCTACATTTTTACAGTACTTTCACACAAATGGCTTTGGAGTGGCCACTTTACAGATGCCACGGGGTATAAGGGCAGCCTCTCACAGAAACGTTCATCTTTACAGAAGCGAGTCCCATTTAGTATTGAAATTCTTTCTAAGCAGGCTGTGAGGCTGCGGCACCTTTAATTTGAAAGCGCTTTCTTCAGTTCCGGACCCGCTACCTCAGCTCCTCCCAAAGCAGGCCTTTCACACCTTTAACCACTCCCCACCTGCCACCTCCATCCCCACCCTCCAAGCTGACTCTTAATTCCTCACCCCGCCGTCC